CTAAAATTATGATTATTTGCAAATAAAAAAAAGTGAAAATATATATATATATATAAATAAAAGGTACCGATAGATACTTATAGAAGGAGGAAATAAATATAGAGGACATTGGTCATTCGATGGAATGGGGGCAGGTGTAGCCATACTTGTTGCGAAAGAATTAAACAAATATATATGTAAAGTCCAAAAGTTTAAAGGAAGAATAATAAGTATTAACTTGGTACTACCTAAGAAAACAATAATCATAATAATACAATTATATTTATCAAGTAAAAAGAAAGACAACAAAGAAACATTGATACAAGTTAAAAATTGGATTCACAATGCACAGCAACGAAACTATAAAGTAATAGTAATGGGTGACTTCAACGCTGTACCATCGCCAAGTATAGATAAAAATAACAATAACTAATCTAACATCCCAGAGAGTGAAATTTTTTCAATATTAACAGAAAAGACTTAATTGACAGTTATAGAATCATATACCCTGATTCCAGTAGTTTTACGTGGAAAAGAGATAATTCGCAAGAACAGAGCCGAATTGATATCATCTGGATCCCACAACAATGGGGAAAAAAAATAATAGAATGTTTCACGGAGCAACTTGAATTAGTGACAAAAAGTGATCATAAAATAATACAACTTAAAATTAAAAAGACATGGCAAATACATTTAGATCGAGAAGTACAAAATAATATAGGACCTAAATACAATATAAAATTAATGTGCAACGAAAAATGGACAAAGTTTACAACACATGTAGAAAAGAAATTAAAAACAAAAACCATCTCGTCACGAAAAGAAAAATATGGGATAACAGTCAACTCGTTAAACAAAAACTGGAAAACTCTCAAAAATATAATAATAGAAGCTGCGGATTGTGCAATACCAAAGAAAAAAATCAAAAAATTTAACAAAAAAATCAATAAAGAATTCACAAAGAACTATAAACGTGCAAAATCATTTAATAAACTATATCAATTCATAAAAAAAGAAAGAACTAAATCAGTTAAATATATTAAATCACATGATAAGTTTTTGAAAGAAAAGAAAAAACTATCAGTACTTAATATTGAAATCGAAAAAATTTTAATAAACAATAGGAAATATGAGGAATTACTATACAAATTCAAAGAACAAAGTATACGTTTTCAAACAATCGCAAGAGTAGAGAAAAAGAAAGAAAACTTTAAAAAAATCCAAAAAGCCATAGAAGAAAGATGGGAGAATCTTAAAGAAAGTCCTAAAAAAATGATTAATAGTGTACTAGACAAGCCAAGAAAATCCATTATTATGGATCGCTTGATTGTCGAATCAGAAAGCAATAACACAACAAAAATCATTACGGACGAAACAGAAATTAAGACAGTGGTACAAAAACACTTTCAAAACTGAACAAGGAAGAGGAACACCAGCGAAATAATGATGAAAGAATTGGAGGAATAGTATAAACCAATATCAATAATTGATTCTAATAACTATAAAAATTTGTTAATAGAAGTAAGTATAGACGAATTGGAAGAAACCATTCACTTTTTACCTAACAAAAAAGCAGCTGAGCAATCAGGTCTACAATATGAATAGTTTAAACATTTTCTTAACGAGGGCATAGAAGCATTAAGAGATATCATTAACATGGCTTTCGATTTAAATGACATTTCAGAAGAATGGAAATGGGGGTATATATATTCAATTCCAAAAATGGCTGATTGGAGAAACAATTTAAATATAACATGACCAATAACCTTATTAGAAGCAGGAAGAAAAATATTCACGAAAATTTTAAATAATAGGCTAGCAGATATCTTCAGT